GTTCAGATGTCCTTGTGTTTGTAGTGATTTATGTGATCATGCAAATTTTAAAATTTTATTCCCTAAATACTTCAGCATTAACTTTAACAGGTTTATATTTGAATATATTTAAATGGATTTTTTGGAAGAATATGATAATTAAAATTTATTTTAGTTTAAAATAATTACCTTTAGGAATAAAATTTAAGATGGTTAGGAAAAATAGAATCATATATCGAATATTTTGATCATAAAATATTTTAAAAAATCATCCTTATTCTATTCTTAATTTACCTTGGGATTCAATTTTACTATTTATTGTCTAATATTCAGCATTGTTATTATTTTGACTAAATTAATAAAATCTATTACTTCTATTAACTGCAATTATTAATGATTTTCTTTACATCTTCATCATTAAAGATATTGTATTAAGATTTAATTTATACAATTTGTTTGGCTTTTAACAATAAATGTTTTTTTAATATTTAAAATTTTTTAATTACTCTCGCTCTTTACTATTATCTATTTAAAAGCTATAAATGTAGGAATCTATATTTTAATGTCCATGGAGCTTTAGTTCTTATAAAGTCTCTTATAGAATCAAGTTGTACTTCAAGGTTTTTTACATATTAACTTATAATTTCTAATAATAGTTTCAATAAAAAATGAATATTAAGATAAGCAAGAATAATTAAAAAAGGTATTTGAATTTCGATTACATCACTTATTTATTCTATATATATTCCAAGTCCAAAAATTATAGATAATTAACAAATTTATGCAGAATAGGCATCTAATTTATTCAATTTTTTTGAACTAAATGGTTAATATTTAATATTGAGTTCCCAATAAAGATAAACTGTTAAAAATACAAGGATACCTTTTTTAATAATATTATCATCATAATAGCTTAAAAAAATGATAATTAATTCTTTTTCGAAAATTTTAACAATTTCCCAAAAATATGCTGTAATTTTATATTCGTTATACAAATAACCAAGACGTTATCTCATATTTTTTGTGTTCAATTTATTTTTGTTAAAGTACATACCTAAATATAAAATGATTGGAATTAAAATAGCAATTAATAACAATAATGGAAGACAGAAAGTTGTTAACCAAAAATAATGGGGATTTGTATCATACCTATATGCAACATTAGCTTAAATCCAATTAAATCCAGAGATTTAACGAAAGGAAATTAATTAAATAAATCCTCCAATTAAATTAGGTTAAACATAAATGTACAAATATATAAATGTTGTAGTAATTACACTTACTTTATACTTTAAAAATTTTATAAATACTCCAATCAAATAGCATCCTAAAAATAAAGTGATATAAATTAATGGTAAAACTAATTACCAAATCATTCTTGAATAATGAATATCTAAAGAAAATATAAAAATTAAAAAGCAATCAAGTGAAAAAGTCATTTTTTAGATAGGATTTGCTGATGAATTTACAGCATTATTTAATTATTAAGGTAATTTAAATTTAAAAGTTGTTATTGTTGAAACTATTTATAAATGATTTGTTAACATTTTAATTAAAATTCCTGATTGAGAATCTTAGTTAGTTAATAACAATCTAAATTGTGAAATATATATTTTAATAGCCATCTCTTCAATTAAAGTAACCGTGCCTCTAACTGATATCAATGCAGATATTATTGTCCTAAAATATATTGTATTCTTACCAAAAACTAATAAGAGAAATAAGAATAGAATTCAATTCTTAATCAGTACATGGACTACATTAATATTTATTACTGGTTGAGTAATGTCCTTCTCCTCTTAAATTATAGAGATCACATTCTTCACACAAAGCTCCAACATGACCTTAAAAACATGAAGTATCCCCTACTTCCCATCCTCCATTACAATTATCGATTAAGTTGATACATTCATTAATTATATCATTATTAAAATAAGGTCTCCAAAATCCATATTTTAAATTCAATTTTGCAGAAGTAACTTCTTTTACTTTTAGTTCATCCTTAATTGAACATTTATCAGAGTTAATTGTTAAAGAATACCATCCCTAAGTGGCATTACAAAGGACACAAATACCTGAAGTTTGATTTTTCGTTTCTCCAAATTGACAAGGCAAAGTCTTTAAATTAATACGAAGGAAATAATTATTATGGAAATCTATTATTTCTAAATTATCATTATAAATTGGAATTTTAACAGAAGTGCATTAAAATTATAGTTACAATGTCAAATTTAATTAGTCATCTAAATAGACAATTATATCATCTAAATTATAATCATAATTATCAAAAACAACTTTAGGAATATTTGTAAAATTTGATGTAAATTAATTCTCATTATTACTTTCAAGTATTCTACCCATTATTTCACAAGTTGAATTTTCTAAATTTTATTACTAAACATTATATCTATCAAATGCTTTGATTCTAAAATGCATATTATATTTAAAATATTTAAGTTAAGTCCAATCAAAATACTCATATTTAGATAATGGTTATCCATTTGGTACATAAAGAGTATCAGAATATGTATCTTTAAAAAGTACATAGGGTTTAATTACAATCTACTCAATAAGCAAATTCTCTTTATTAACAATTTTAACTTTTTCTAATCCTGTAGTTCTATCAAAAGAAATTGTTAATTAACTTGGAATCTAAGCATAATTATTTCCAAAAAGTTTAGCAATGTTATCTTCAATAATACTCTTCTATTTATAAAATTGATTAGTCTTAAAACTATTAATAGACAGGCCTCCTCCAAAATTTGCAGTATTATTCATTATAAATGATTCTTATAATAAGAATTTTTTATTTCCTAAGATTGTAATTGAACCACCTGAAGTTTAAGCTATATTGTGTTTTAATACTGATGATTTTATTATAGTACTCAAATTTGCAACATATAAACAAGTACCATCATTTCCAATATTATACATACACATATAATTTACTAATTTCAAATTATATATCTATTTCAAAAGGTGATCTTCTTGTCTCTAAAGGATTCGATTATTATTAGAATTTTAGAAAATTAAACAACCCAATTTTCCACAAAAATTTTAATAAATCAATAAAGAATCAATATCAGTATCTACATAAGAATCTTTAAAATAAAAAGCCAACAATCCTCCAAATTCACAATGAGTATTATATATTTTAATTTAAGATAATCTAATATCTGTTTAAAAAGGGTATATTATTATAAGATTCATCTGTGAAAATGTTTCTAAATCATTAATTGTGTTAATAACACAATAAGCCTAATCTAAACTATTTTTATTTGATGAAACTAAATGTAAAGGTGCTAATATATGTTGGCTACATTTATATTTGATCTCATTCTAAATATTTGATTGATTTATTTTACAAGGAGAAGGAGATATAATATCACTACTAATGGTAATATTAAATATTGAAATATTGTAAAATTACAATTTAGAACTAATACTCATTTAATTTATAAATATTGCATAATTCAAAAATGAGGATTGAATTATTTTCATATTTTTAATTGCAATATTTTATGCTCCTCTTATTGTTAATACTGATTCATATAACAGTTAATTAATTTCTAAATTTTATAAAGAAATGATTCTAAAATTAGATATCAAAAAAAGTGATCTTGATCCTAGTTAGTTAATAACCGATTATTGGCTTTCATCTTAGTTACTAAAAGTGTTAAGAAATTGTAATTATTCTAGAATCGAATTTTTCATTTGCAAATTTTTCACTATAAAAGAGGTTTCAACATTTGAAGCTACAAAATCTCCATAAAATAACGAACCTATTAATGAATATAAATTTTCTACAAAAAGATTTTATAGATTAATTTATGTAACTCCTTTTCCATTTAATGAATATATAAATCCCCCTTTATTTTTATTTTTTATATTTATCATAGAAATATAGTTTGCAGTTATAATTGTGGATGTAGCCTAAGAAGAGTCAATTAATAAGATTCCTCCATTAGTAGTTTCTGATATTAAATTACTGAAATTTGCATTCTCTATAAGTAATATGGCTTCATTCTCCATTTTTATATTAAATCCTGACCCAGATGAATTATTAATTTAAATATTTTTTATCGTAATTTGTTCACCAATTATTTTTGCATTACCAGAAGAAACCTTGATTTCTAGAATATTAGTAATTATATCATATAACAAATTTTAGTCCTAGTCAAAATTAAATACTAAAAAAGGTTATAGAATCTAATAATCAAAAATGCAATTTTTTTAAAATATTGAATTTTCAAAAATGACATTCTTTGCTTTCAAAAATATAATACTAGTTGATGAATTTGTAACTATGTTAGATTCCACAGTTAAGTTTTTTATATAGATTGTACATAACGAACAATCAAGATTAAAAAGTAAACTTGAAATAAATAATTAATTTTCTTAATACTGATGCAATAAATTCTTTTCAAATATCGAATCAGATATTTATATATAATAATTACTTTATGACATTAAGTATATTATCCCTGTTGTTGTCTACTTCTCTTAAGTTAATAAAAAATTATTATAAAAATTAAGTTAAGATAACTTCAAAAATAAACTAAATTATGTTTGAGATTTTTTTTAATATATATTAATTATTGGATAATCCACTGACCCTATATTTAAAATTTTAAGATTTATGAATTCAATATTAAATGTATCTTCTATAAATATTGAGGTGTTAAGGAGACCCTTTATTTTAGCACACTCAAAAATAACAAATAGTTATTCCTAAGTTTAATCTGAATATTTTTAGATTATAGTTTTATTTAAAATTAAATTTTGGACACCTTAAAACTTAAATTCGCTTATTCCAATATATCGTTAAATATATAATTCATGAATCGATATATTTATAAATTCCAAAACAATTAACATCTCCTAATATAATAATTTAGAAATATCTTAAATTTTGTTACCAATTAATTTGATATTCTTTATTATTAAATTCTTATTTGGTTACTAGTTATTATCATTGTTAAATAGAATAAGTCTTGAACCATATTCATAAGTATTTAAACTGAAGGAAATTTATTAAATTTAACAGAATTGAATGCTGTTATTATTATTATTAATTAACACTGAATAATTAGATAGCAAATTCTTTTGAATTCTATTTAAGAAATATTTATGTTATTATTAAGTGTCAGGATTGTGGAATTGTCAATGGAATTTGAATTAAACAAAAATGATTAAGAAATAAAATTACTAGATCCTCTGATTGAGATTAAATTAGAATTTTATATTGTATTATTCTCTATTAACATTTCTTTAATTATTAATTTTCCATTTTATAGATCTAATAAGCTTGATGAGATGAATTCAGATTTAATTAATTTTACATTCAAGAATTCTACCTAGTCATTTTCTTTAAAATTAAATCTTAATAATTAATAGTTTGTGAACTCTATTTAAAATAATGAGTTGGAGATTTAAACTACTTAAGGTGATTTAGTATAACCAAATTCTATTAAAACTTCAGCACTATAAGCTTTAATAATTTATAATAAATTTAAGTTATCTATATAGATATTTGTAGCATTGTTTATTACAATAAACTTCTGATTTCCAATGGAATTTAATATAAAATTAATATTAATTAATTCTATTGTTTGCTCAAAATTTGACGAAATTTAAATGAGTTAAGACTCAATAATTATTCCTTCAATATGAATTTTGTTAAAGTTAATTAATTGGATTGTGCCCTCAAATCCTTGCTGAAAATTTGTAAATCCATTTCCATAAATTTCTAATTGAACATTACTTCAATATATAAAATAAATAATTACATAGCATAAAATACATTTTAACTGTAAATTTATATAAACGTTTAATTCAAATTAAAAAAACAAACTTATTATTGATAACTTGTAATTTTAATTACAATAGTTTTGATTTCAAGTGAGTTTAAGAGTAAATAAAAATCTTTAGTTTGAAACTAAAATAAATTATTATTTTAATAAATACCTGAACAATTTGTTCTGGGATTAATTTATCGTTTTCGCCATTACAGATTAATTCTAGATTGATTTGAATTTCCTTTTTTTAATAAATTTGTTAACAATCATTAGAAATGAAACCATAATTATCAAAGCATTAATAAAACCCTAGACACTAGTTGGAGAAATAAGAAAGTTCTTCATTATTGAAGAGAGGATTAACTTCTTAAATTTAATTCTGATTTCTTATATGACATAATTCACAATTAGATGGACAAAGAAAACATTCATTATTTGATAAACTTAAGCTTTTGCCATTAAAAGTTGTGGGACATTCAATACAAACATTTTCATTATTTATAATAATACATTCTAAACAATTATATGGACATGCTTTGATACACATATCATTATGAAGTACATATCCCTGTAAACAATTGATACAAATAATTTCATAATCTTAAGAATTTTAAGAAGTTCCATATTATATAAAAGGATGAGATTACACACTATCATCAATAATATATCTATAGAATGCTTAGATTTCAGTTTTCCAAAAATCTTTAGCTATTTTATGTTATTATTAACAATTTGAACAATATTATTAGAGTGGACAAGGTACACATTAACCTGTTGATTTTTCAGAATAATATCCTTAATCACAAATAAGACATGAATAAGATTCTTCATTTAAAATTGTTGAACCAACCAAACATATTTTACAATCTTTATTTAATTAACCACATCCTTCTTTAAATGAATAAGGACTATTATTTTAGCTTTTAATTCCATAAAAACAAATCATCTCATTATATAATATAAGTTGATAACCATATTAGCATTATTGATTTGTATGTTTTTAGCATAATTGTGTGTATTCATTAAAAAAGAATCCATCTGAACATCTAGCACATCCTGTTTTAGTTGCAGATTAAGTATTTATATTAAGGTCAAATTCAAAAGAATTTATTTTATAATCTTACGTAGCCTCAAAAGCATAAAGACAGTTTGCGATTAAATTTTCTAAACAATCTGTAAAATTTATCGAAATATAATATTTTTAATGATGTACACATCTTAAACATCTAGGGTATCCTTAGCCAAGTTCATTATATTAATATTAACAATCCATACAATTTTTACCACATTAAATACACTTATTTAATTCATTAGAAAATGTATATCCTTTATTACAAGTAATTTATATAATTTCTTGGCATAGATCATCTTTCAATTCATATCCTGTGTCACATTTTTCACAACTTTCGTACATAATCACACATCCTTTTGGTAAAAGTAAACACTTACGAAAAGGGTTAGGGTTATGATAATAATTTGATTTACATTTCACTGAAATTACTTTAGAAACAAGAAAATTAGTATCTAATTCATTACAGAAAGAATTTAGATTAAAATTCTATGTACAATGTTCTTCTGCTCCTTCAATATATTGTAATTCAAAATTATCATCAATCAAATATAAATCGTAATCTTTAGGTTATCTTTATTTTATTCTATAAGTAAATTAATTTGCTGATTTCATTTAAATGTAATAATCAGATTAACAATTTAATTTTTTATACCATGTTGTTGGGTATTAAAGACATTCTGCACAAATAAGATCAAAGCCTCTGATATATTCTTATGGGCTAATATAATTAATTAAAATATATAATACCATTTAATGCATTTTTCATCTTCAGGTAACATAAAATATCCAAATGGGCATCTTTAATTTTTTGATTCAACATTTTTTAAAATTAAAATGGGATTAAAATCTATGACTGATTTACAATGTTTGTCATCTTCAAAATATCCTAATTAACACGGACACTAATTAAAATCTTTTATGTATATTCTATTTTGATTTACAGAGCAGGATATACAATCATTAGAGGAGGGACCTTTACATTCTTAACAACTATGATGACATATTTAAATAAATTCCTTTGGATTGTCATAATTATAATGTATTTAAAGATTAAATATTTAACCCTTTAGTTTTGAGAAATATTTAATATTATCACTCCCAATAGTTACATAATACTTTGTATTGATAAACAAATTATTGTACTTTTCAGTTCCTAAATTTATTTCTTTATGAAATATATTTGAATATTCAAAGTATGATATTAAAAATTTAGTTTTTATATTCCAAGTAGATGAGTATTCAAAACTGATAAAATGCCAACTCATTAACTACTTTAAATCTAATGACACAAACTTTTTTTCATTTTCTAAATTTTATATATATTATAAAATTGGAGTAGCATAATGATAAGATACAATTGTATATCCAGAGAATTGATTAGATTTATCAATATCTACCAATATTTTGGCTACCTCATCTCCAACTCTAATTTCATTTGTATAACTTTTAAAAACACTCATTCTAAGTAATAAGTATGTAATTAAAGAATTCTAATCAACTGAATCATATTTGGCCCATCCAGATATATAAAAATTCTTACCCACTTATTCAATTTCAATTTTAAGTTAAGTTTCCCCCCTAAAGGTTTAAATTCCTGAAACTAATTCTTAGGTTTATTATCCTTATATTTTTGGAGGTATTTTATTGTTATTAAAATAATCATCAAAAGCTAAGTTTTCTTCAATCATCATTAATTAAGAAATTCTACCTCTAAATGCTCCTAAATAAAAATCTTAAACCTAAATTAAAGAATAAACTTACTCTAAGTCTTGTATCTCCAAGCACAAATTAAATATTGAAAATTTCATATAATGATGTGTAATAATGAATGATGTCACTATTTAAAGTTTATATTGAAATTTCTTTTTTTTTCATTGTTATCATTGTCAGTATCCATGTTCCTTCATATTATAAAGGATTATAATCTTAATACTGAATCATATCACGAAAATAGATTTTATGACTTACTTAAGGTGACCTAATTACTACGGACACAAACATGGCTATTATAAGATCTTAATTAACATTATTTCTTATGTAAAATAATTACTAATTTTCTCCATCTGTAAATTAACTTACTTATTGAGTTGGAATGCATAAGCTCCAAAATGCGAATTTATTCTCAATGCCTAATTCAAATTGATATTCTTTTTTTTAAGATTTTAAATCTAAAAGATGGTCTTCATATATGTCTGATCCTTTAATCAGAAATAAATGAAACAAACTAACGATCGTTATTCTGATAACCAAAGACATTAATAAAAATATTTATCTTTATATTTACTTTTAGATTTATCAAGAAAATTAAAAGAGATTGCCTTTATTTTTAAACGAAAGGTCTTTCTTAGATAGTAAAATTTTAAAGTGAATCTAAATTCAAATATATAACATCTAAAAAAAATTTATATTTGAATTTAATTGTTTTATTTATGAAAAAGGCACGATATTTGAGAGCTTTGAAAAATATGGCAGATTGTTGCTTTATGAACGTAATCAAAAATGAAATTTCCCTCCATAATTACTATTAGAATTTTTAATATATTAACAAATCTAAAAAATTTTTCAGTATTAAATCTAAATAACATAATACTAATTTATGCAGTTTATAAAAATTAAATAATTAATTTATTAAACATATTTTTCATAAAATAAAGTCATTTAAGAACCAGAAATATCAAAGAAAATAGAAGAATTATTAAAGGGTGTGTAAAATCAAATTGAACTAAAATAATTGATTCATGAAATTCAGAGTTATTATTTAAAAATTTAGATTAACCTGATTGATAAAATGCTTAATTCTCAAAGGTCTCTTTTAACATCATCATGCAACATCCTTAATTAATATGCACTAAATTGGATTTGAAAATTATAATTTTGCACATACTAAATATTGACATATTACTAACATATGAAACTTAAAGGATAAAAAATCAAATGTAATGATATTCCAATAGGAGAAAATATCAAATGTTCATCTTGTACATCTCACCGCGCATTGGATAGGGACACTCAAATTATTTATATTATTTCATTTATATATTTAATTAACTGTAATCTAATTCAAACTGATATCATCTGAACTAATGTCTTATAATGTATTTGATGATTTTCAATATAAAAATATTTGATTGTTTTTTTTAATTTTAGGTTTTGAAAACATGACTATAAAATTATTAATTGAATTGTATGCAAGCCTCTAATTAATTAAAATTGTTATCAATTTTAGAAAGAAAATAAATATAAAGTTTGAAATGAAAATGAAATTTTATAAGATGACATTAGGATGATTAATTTTTTAGAAGGTTATAAGATCATATGTCTTTTTTGATAATTAATATAGATTTATTATACTTATCCAAAATTTTTAAATAAAAATTTCATTGTTCAGATTTAAAATTTATATGTTAAAGGTTAAAGTTGATTTTAGTTATTTCTCATTCTTGTAGTATGGAATACAGCATTTATTATATTTTAAATTAATAATTGAAGTATTACTTAAATTTCTTAATTAATTAAACGATCCTAATTTTATTGGTTGAATAAAAAGAGCATTTCATGATTTTAAAGTTTCTTTATTATCTTAAATAGATTCATGAAATCAATATATAAAACAAGATATTTTCATTTATAATCAATATATTTCTTAAAGTAAACAAATTCATTACTAAAGGGTGTCATAAAAGTGAATGATTTTTATCTAAATATTTCTATTAAGCTTCCATATTATTTAATTTATTTTAAAAAGAAAAAGAATTAAATTATTGCCAAAGATTTTAGATAATTTTGATTTAATTAATAGCGTTCCTCCAATATTTTTTTGTGAATTCTTCAGCATATATTAAATTAATATTTCCATCTCATCTTTTGTATTAAAATCCTAATGAAGATTTTCTCAATTGCAATTGCTATTAATTCTAAATTCAGAGAAAGAAAAAGGCTTTGATTTAAGATGAGAGAAATAATTTGGATAACTAGCTTTGATAATAAATTATAATTAATAAGAAATTGTTGTATTGGTAGTTTATAATCAAAAGTAAATATGAGAAATATCTTAAATTTAAAATTTTGAAAAATTATTTGAGTTAATGATGAATCAAGTATTTTGGTTATCAGTGTTAGTATTTAGCATGAATTGCAATACAATAATATCAATTGATAGAAGTTGTGTTTGCAAATAATTGAATTTATTTTTTGAATGTGCAAGCAATTGGAATTGTGTATGGAATAACAATACAAATAGTTGTGAGTAGAAAGAATGTTCAAGCATAAAAGATTAATAAATATGTTTATATTCTTAAAGTTGTCAGTATAGGAATGGAAAATGTGAGTATTTTACAAAATGTGAAGATTTAAAAGGGAAAACAATTAGTGAATGTTATTAGATGTCTTTAAATTGTAGAGAGAGTAATGGTGAACATTGTTTACCACATGATTTTGAAGGAAGATGTGATAAGTTTATAAATGAAGGAGAATGTGATAAAGATGTTGATTGTTTATGGAAAGATTCAAAATGCATTTTATGGAACAATTGTTAACAAGCTAAATAAAAAACTTTATGTCAAAGATAGCCATATACTTGTGATTGGTCAGAAACTCTAAATATATGTAAATAATAAGAATGTACAAAATATGATAATTAAAATACTTGTTAAATAGTATTATTAGATCCTAATAGTCATTTTTTTAAGATTTGTACATGGAATCATACATAAAATTAATGTGAAGAATCTAGACCAGATGCTTTACCTAGTGATACTTGTGCAACTAATACATTCTTTACCTATCATTGGTCGAGTACAAAAATAAGTGGTTACTGTTAATAATGTTTATCACCAAGTGTTTAAAAACCATCTCATAAACATTGTCTATGCAAATCAATATCAACTTAATTAGATTGTTAATAAAATTAAACTTGTACTTGGAAAGAAGGATCATGTTAAGAAAATAATTGTAGTGAAATTGATTCACCTTAAGCTTGTATTGAATTAGATCATTGTGCTTGGTTTGCTAATGTTTGTATAGAATTCACTCAATGTGAAAATTATAAAGCTTTTTCTAATTTAGAATGCTAATCTATTAATAAAAAATGTTTATTATCAGATAAATTAGAAATGTGTACTTCAAAATATCTTGAATGTAATGAACATAAAACTGATGATAAATGTAATGGAAGTAAAAATTCTAAATAAGAATTATGTTATTGGGATGAAAAAATTAATACATGTTAAGTTTGGACAGAATGTTCATAATAATAATCAGCTACTTATTGTGAATTTAGTGGAGCTTGCGTCTGGAATGGAAAATGTTAATAAATTTGGTGTTCATTATTAAATGAATAATAATGTAATCATTATTTAACAGCACCTAATTCCAAAGAGTGGAATTATTGTATGCTTTATGGAGACACTTGTTAAAATTTGAAATCTTAAAATCTAAGTAGATAAGAATGTTATGCTTTAACATATGGAATTAGTACATGGACTTCTTCTGGATGCTAACTGTGCGAATTTCCAGACGACAATTACACAAAAATTCTAACATATATTGGTCTGATTATATCAATGTTATGATTAGAGTTACATCTTTTCAGAATTAATTATTATTATAATAATGCAGATTATACAGATTAAATTACATAATTTGTTTTTAAAAATTCATCAAATCACTTGTTTTTGTATAAAATAATAAATTAAATACTATTAATGATATTAATAATAATAAGAATAACACATTGATAGGTACATCAGTTATATCCTATTTTAATTTGATTTGAATTTATAGGCAAATCAATTAATTGATTTATCCGAGATCGAAAAGTAGATATGCATTTACTTTCAATTTTATTGAGTGATATTTTATATTCCTTTAAGCATAAAAATTAAGGATTATATTATCACTCTTTGATTCCATCTCTACAATCTATTTGCTATTGCAATTAAAAACGAGGTAAGGATTATGTCTACTCAATGATTTTAATATCCATTAAGCACATCATATAGTCTAATTAATTGATTCCTAAAACTAAATTTTAAAATTGCATTACCTGGCATTTTGTTTATTACTTACATCATCTAAATTAAATACAATTATTTTTGTTAATGAAAAGATTTACTCTCTTATCTTCATTTTATTAAAATTCATCATTTTAATGTTATTGCTCTCTTACTTTTGATATGCTATTACTCAACCCTTAAAAAGTAGTTTAAAAATATATTTTTGAGATTATCATTTAAAATAAAAATTTAATTTTTGAACAATTTATTAATTTGTTGAGCATATATGTTATCAAATAAAAAGTATTTAAAATAAAACATAATTTTTATATTTGAATTTCATTTAGAAAAATTTATTTAAGTTGCTATTTCAATAATTATGTTAAACAAATCTTTGATTTTTTCACTTTATACTAGACTATTTTTATTTATTGTTCATTATCTACCCCAACTAAAATTGAATATAAAATTCTTTCTAAAATTATGAATAGTGTGTGTGATAATAAATAGAACAGTAAATTTTCTAATTACAATTAATTTATAATAATGATATTTAGAGATTATAACACAAGAGATATCTTGCTTATTATTTTCTTCATTTTTTTCCTACAGAATCAAATTAATCAAAATTCAACCCAACTTCTGATTATATAAATAATAAAATAATATACTAAAAATAGTTTGGAATCAAACCTAAGTTTGATTGAAAGCCTAAATAGACTTTCTAAATTATTATTGAAAATTTCTTTTATAATAACATTTAATTTAATAAATATAGTGTAAGTAAATATACATATTCAATATTTTCATTAACACTAAATAACTAAATATGATTGTAGTAAACTTTTTGGAACACAATCAAGTCATCCAGCTTATTGTACTAATGCTGCTTCAGGTACATCTGCTTGTGTTAGCAGAAAGTGCTCAGATAATACAGATGCAACTGATAACACAACCTGCAATGGATTCTTACCTGGATGTATAACAAATGGATAAGGTTGTGTTGTTTACAATACACCATCTATATCTATGAAAGGAACTTAAGCAATATGTGATAAATTATAGGCTGAACAGTTTCAAGCTTTTGAAAAAATTAATGTTATAACTCATCAAGTGATACTGCAACAGATTATTTCAAAGTTAAAACTTGTGCTCTTGCTGAAAACTAGACTGATAGCACATGTGGATCATTTTTAGAAGGTTGTGTTTAAAATGGTAATGGAGGGTGTTCTGATCCAAAAACAGCAACTTGTTCTAGTTATACTGGAGTTGTAGCATTTTGCGAAAATGCAGTTGTTGGAAGTAATGGTGCAAAATATTATTTTAGAGCATCATCATCAGAATTATGCAAGACAAGAACTTGCACAGATAATACAACGGCAACAAAAGATGATGAATGTGAACATTTATAAGTGTCTGTATTGCAAAATCAGAAGGAGGTTGTATGGATAAATCAAGAACTACTCTAACAACTTGCCCACACATTTTCAGGTGGATTAGTTGGTGTGAAAGTACCATAAACAAAATATGATGCATGCTAAGATACATTAATAATACACCAGATACTGCTACAACTATTGTACAAGTACAAACAATAGCAATGGATTATTATGTGGATGGAATTTTGGAACAAAATGTGTAGATAGAACATGCGATAAACTATTGAGCACAAATACGAACACAGATATAACTTGTGCTAATTATTTATAAAAAAATATTTTAACATTATCAAATGATATTTATAAATTAGCTGGAAACTTTTGCTGTTTACCAAATAAACCTAGCTGTGATTATGCTTTCCTACAGGAGTCAACACTGATACACTCAAATTAGCTTAATGTTAGAAATACGTTAATGGTAAAGGAGAATTTTGTTCATTTAAAGTTGTTGATGGTACTTGCACTCTCTAAAGCACTTTTGAAAAGATAGTTGTCTAAATAAAAGCATGTTCAAATTATTCCACACTATCTGATGCCAATAAAAAACCGCTTGTGAAGCTCTAAAAATTGTTGATGAAGATACTAAATTTGGTGATGGTGCCAGAGTATCTAAGGTCTGTACATAGACTTCATGTAATGTATGTGCAGCAATGACTTGTGCTAGTGTTGCATCAGCTGTTAGCTAAAAAGATTGCGATTAAGGTTGCTGGATGTTATTATTATGCAGAAATGTAATAAATCTTTTTTTACATGTCCAGCATCTTTCTCAGCAAATTTAGATTTGAACGCTGATACAAAGAATGCAAAGTATTGTAAATCTGTTAATGAAACAAGCAAAGGTTATAGTGAAATAAATCCAGTTGGTACAGCTTGTCAAACCATAGCTAGCTAATGCTGGTTGTGCATTAGAAATAGGTTTTGGAAAATAATGGACAGCTGCAAACTTTGATGGAGTTGGTTTGACCACTGATACATTTTGCGTAACTTAATCAACTCTTGATAAGTTGAAGTTTTGTATTAAAAAGGATGCAACTGCCTGTTAACCAGGAACATGTGAAGATATCCCATCACCAGCAAATAAATAGATTATGATTTGCATTTAAAGTAATTTTATTTTATAAATTAAAATATTAAGATAATAATGAATTATAATATAGCGCTACAGATATATATACGAATTTGAAATACACTTTTAGATTAAAATTTCAATTTTAAAATGCGATGAAAAATTGGAATTTCAATTCTATTAAATTTATAATTCTATTAAGTAAGTTCTTTGTTCAACCACATTAATGGAAAAAATTAAAATAAAATTATTGTACAAATTTAAATGTCTGCTCATATCTTGCTATAATAAAAAATGGATCACGATAAATACTTTTTTGCAACTTTACTACATTCTAGTATCATAAAAACTCAGTTTGGCTATTTGGGCTTCATGATTACTGAAGGTTTATGGATTAAACTAAGTGTGTATTATTGTTTTGAAATTCCGAAAAAAATTACTATTACAGAAGCAGAAACATTTTATTTTCTGGATTTAGAGAAATGTTAAGCTAAAAAAGAGGAAATTATAGAGTCTGTATATTAATCTTTAGTTTATTTTAGGGTGTGTGCAGTATTTTTGAAAAGTTCTTTAATTCTATTGTTTTATTGACTGTAATTCTATTACAATAAAAATAGGTATTCAAATTTATCCATAATATAAATGAATTATTTATATTATGGATAATTAACTTGAAGACGAACTTCTTAGACGTATGAAATAGAGTAAATATTCCCTTTCTTTTTTGAATCATAGAAGTATTGAGAAAATTGAGAACGGTTACATTGGTTTTTAAATCACTAGAGGACTTTGGTGTTAATTAAGGGTTTTTCTATTACAAAAAGAGGGGGAAAATAAAAACTTCGAAATGATATTTTCAGAAGCATTTTTTGGAGAATAAGGAGCATATGATAAAATACATGAAATATTCTAGAAATACAAATAATAATAATGTTGAATAATACTATTTAAGATATTTTATCAAACTTATGTAATAAATTAATCATATTTTTTAAATTAAATAATATAAAAAAATTATTTTATTTTTTTAATAGTTATTAATGTTAACCATGTGAAAAGAATTTTAAAAGGTGAAAATTATCATAATTAAAATAATGGGTTTGCCCATGTGAAGTTTATTTAAACATTCGATAATGTTGAATGTTCTAATAATTTTTTTATTTTTTTTTTAAGAAGATAATTTTTTGTAAGAAGGGGT